TATTATCATCAGTTAATGGATTATTAAATGGATTGGTAAACTCATCATCTTCATTCACCACTGAATTCATTTGTAAAATTTGGCCACCAGGGAGAATACCTGTCTTTCCCCAACAGTTTTTTATTGTTGTAGTTGTTACACTGATCAATATAATCAATGGCTTGTTTTAAATTGGGCTTGGACCTAAAAAAAAGCTGATGAGAAAAAATCTATGCAAAAAATATATAATTGAAAGATTACTGACTTTTCAATATCTACACCACTTTCAAATTGTCTTAGAACATGTGAACAATATAAATGTTTATATTTAGCTTTGAATGACTTGATAGTCCCTGCATCCAGTGGTTGCAGATGGGATGTGGTGTTGGGAGGAAGATATTGCAATGTAATGTTTGACAACTGAAGAGGAGCTTCGCCATCATTTGAAGAATGTGAACTTGCATTATCTACAAGAAATAATACTTGCCTGTTTTTATTTTGAAACTCTTCATTTATATGTTTTAACCATCTTCATCTATTCCTAAAAGATTTGCAAAGCTCCAACTTTTCTCTTTAATAAGCTGTTCATTCAATACAACAGCTGATGCTGATACCTGTTCTACCCAACGATTTAAAGCTTGATCAAGCAATGGAAATTTAGGATTTTTATTTTGAAATTTACTTCTAGAAATAGAATTAGTATCAATACTTAGCCATCTACTACTTTCTTTTAATATTTTAGCAATTGTTGAGCAACCAATGCCAAGATCTGGGTACTTGTTATTAAAAAAGTCAGCACTACTTTGTTGCTTAGAATTAGTATGTTTTTGAGCATAAATACATATTTCTTTTAACTAATGGTGGCTTGTTTTTTAGTAGACATTTTAATTCATACAATAATGTTCTTATATAAAGGTAAATTATATTAGAAATATCACTGAAAAAATGTTCTAGTTCTTATACAGAGGGTTCTTGTATAGAGGGAAAATCATTATCAAATTGGACCAAAATCAGTCCATTACAGCAAAATGTGTTCTTATATGGAGGTATGACTGTACTATGGAATTTTGTAATTTTTGTTATGCAAAGTCACATGAAATCATGCAACTTTGTAGATAGGAACTTGGTTTTTTCAAAAGTGTAAAATTTTTCTCTTTTCTTATATTAAAATAAATAGTTTACTCTTGAGGAGCTGTGTATTCCATGCAAAATACATACACTAGCTGGACAAAAGTATTTGATCACATATTTACACTAATTAATAAAAAACCTACGTAACAACATCACACAAAATTTATAACATTATGCACCTAGGTTTTGATAATTATATATTCAAAATTTCATGTTGCTAGCTTCCAAATATCAAGATTAATAAAAAAAACCAAAACCCAAATAAAAAATTTAAACATTTTGCTATATTTTCACATTTTTTAAAAAATTTACATAATAAAAAATTGTAA